ACTTGAGCCTCTGATGCGGTAGAAGGCTCCTCTATAGGCGCGCTAAGGTGCAATAGATGTTTAGGGTCATCCCTGACCTCTGGCGATGTGAATGGCGATAGCGGTGACAGTGAAGGCGTGATTGGCAAGATTTCTTCCTTAAGCGATGCAATAGCGATAGGCGAGTGTGTTTCAAGCGATGGCGTAATAACTTCCACAATGGGCGCGTTATTGTGCAATAGATGTTTAGAGTCATCCCTGACTATAGGCGATGCGATAGCGATAGGCAAGCGTGATTTGAGTGGTGCATTGGTGTGCAATAGATGTTTAGAGTCATCCCTGACTACTGACAATGCGATTGATGCTGACATGGGCAGCAAATAAGAATTGTCAGCATGCAAAACAGGTGAAGAAAGAGATGATGATGGGGGCAAAGAGGCGCCTGCAGTGCGCTTCTGGTTGCGCTTCGCAGGCGCGCGCTCGAGTTCGTGATCTAAAGCGATGCAGTCTGGTATAGCTTTGTGTGCTGGCGCAGTTGATGGTTCAGGCGAGCGTGAATCGCGCGAAGGCGTGGGAAAATCGTGCGCAAGAGGCGCAAGGATAGGAACTGGTGGCCTTTTGTCAAGTACAACATCTGAGGATGCGCGATAGAAGAGTCCAGCTGTCACACTAGCGCTAGTGGACGTATCCTGCGTTGCGCGGCTCGTGTAGTATTGATCTTTGCGCTTAGTTACCATGGCTTGCACCGGTGCTTGCGCTGGCGCGGTCGCTGGGACTAAGTTCGCAAATGGCACTACTACAGGCGCATTAACTGGTGCGCTTGGCGCGGGAAAAGTGCGCGCAGGTAATAGGAACTGTGCAGCTGCAAAGATGTCCATGAACGGATATGGGTCGTGTGGATAGTGGTTAGGGAACTTGATCATAAGGCGCAAGCGAATTTGCGGCTGAACATCTCTAGGGATTCCTTCCATGAATAAGCGGTCGCGTTCGGCCTTTCCAATACAGTCTTCATCCATAAGTGGCTGCATAACCTTCCTGAATGCGCGCAAGTAATTGCTTAGTTTGGTGCAAGAAGGCATAGGTTTGTTAGCGTATTCTCGCGCGATGGCGCGTAAGTCCGCGAGTGCGTAGCATCTCTTGCCATCCCATCCTGGATACATTACCTTCACCTCATCTAAGAAGGCGTCGTAATCGCTTACTGCCGCTTCAGGCATGCCTCCCCATAGTTCTCGATCATCGTGTTCAAGGTAGCGAATAATACCTTTGATGCGGTCGAGCCCTTGGAGTCCTGCTTCATCAGCGAGCTGCTCATATGCGCCAATGAAATCGGTGAGGTTGTCTGTAGTGCCATCGAATTTGGGCGCGTTTGTTGTGCCACGGATGGGCATTCTATAAGGCATTGAAGCGCGAGAAAGGCGCGTGCGCGAGGCGCGAGAATGCGTGACTAAGGATGGTTAGCTTGTGAAAATGCAAAGAGATTGACCTATATGTGCTAAATGGCGCTAAGTGCAAAGGTGCACGGAACTAGATCTTGCTGACTGTTCCCCTCGCGGTGGGCTCCAGTTGAAGGTACAACAATTCAGATGGTGAGTCTGAACAATGTTGGGTCTTGCAGAACCTAGCTGCTATTCGACCCTAAAGGGTTTCTGGACCAGGCTCAAGGCTCAGAGAAGAGGAAATATGATAGAAACTTGCTGAATACTCAGACTCATAGTAGAACTGGTGAAAAGGTAACTTGATTATGTAAGCTACAAAAGTGCAAACATAACACTAAGGTAAAAACAGTCTCTGCAAGCCCAGCCAGAAATGAATCCCTACACTGCCTCACGCAAATGATCATAGAATACACAGAGGCAGAAGAAGAAAATGGCATCATAGTGGCGCTAGACCAAGAAAAGGCCTATGACAAGATTACCCATGAATACCTATGGAAAGTCCTAGACAAATTTAATGTACCCGGTAACTTCATAAACACCGTTAAATCCCTCTATGAGGACACAGAAACAGCTGTGATGATAAACAGAGACATCAGTTCAAAATTCCAAGTATCACAGGGAGTCTACCAGGGAGACCCACTATCATGTCTTCTGTTCGACATCGCAATCGAACCCCTAGCAGAAATGCTTTGTAAGTCAGAATTAACGGGCTTCAAAGACAAAAAGATAGCTCACCATATAGTGGTGACCATGTTCACAGACGATACCACGGTCTACTTAACAGAAAAAGATAACTTCAATGCCCTAAATAAAATCCTGTCATGCTGGTGTAAAGCATCAGGCGCCAGATTTAACACATCAAAGACTGAAATCATTCCAATAGGTACTAAAGAATACCGGAACAAAGTTTTAACCTTGAGAAAGATCAACAAATCACAGGACACTCTACCAGAAAACATTGAGATCGCCCCAGACGGAAAGGCGACGAGAATCTTGGGAGCATGGATAGGCAATGGTGTTGACGAGCAAGCAGTCTGGTCCCCGATCTTAGAAAAGATTGAAAAAGTGCTCCAATGCTGGGAGAAATGGCACCCTAGTATCGAAGGGAGGAAAATCATCATAGAGAGAACAATAGGCAGTATGACTCAATATCTTACTATCGCACAAGGTATGCCGAAAGATGTCGAAAACATCCTCACTACTAGAACTCGTAAGTTCATATGGGATGGCAAAGGAAACAACGCAATAAGTATGAACATTCTGTGCGCTCCCATAGAGAAAGGAGGTAAAAGTGTCCTGCATCTCAAAAGCAGGAATGAAGCAATTGAATTAAAATGGCTAAAAGGCATGCTCACCCTCCAAGCTGAACACCCACAATGGGCCTTTTTTGCCCTCGCCTTACTGGCAAAGGCAGCTCAAAGCTCCCCTGTAGTTAAACCTAAAGCAAGAATTAACCTGTTCCTACAAACATGGTCCCCATCACAAGAAACTCTCAACTTACCTGAATCGTATCGTTAAAATGGCAAAAAATACAATGTCCGTTGGGAGGTTATAAGCGTCAACCCAAACATTGCAAGACTATTGCCGATATGGTTTCATATAGGCGCCTCCAAAGAACTTAAAAAATTTAACAATCACTTACATGCATCGTGCCTAAGAGATAATCATAACATCACCTCTGTCAGTCAGCTAGAAACAACCATGAAGAGATATTCACCCCACCACAGGCAGAATAAAGATTGCCCATGCGAACACTGCCTAGTGGACAGAACCTCCTATAAGTGCAACAAACCATTCAAATGTGTGAAACTAGCAAAAGAGATAATGAACTGCTTACTCCTGAAGTGGCACCCAAACAACTGCTCCCCCTCCTATGCTCTAAACATCGCACCCGAACAGAGCACAGAGAATGACGACCAAGGAGAGGCAAACATCAAAATCTTCGATCCCATCTTCCCCTCCCCAGACACATTAGAGACTGGCTTCAGAGCCTTCGTCAAGACACAACCGCAAAGCACCTTGCCAGCCAGCCAAACCACCAAACCACCTGGGAACCCTCCACAGTTAATCAACATTGTCATTGCAGGCACTCACCAAGTCAATAAGGACAGAGAATACATGTCAGGAGGAGGAGCATGGATCAGCCATGATAACCCCCAAAACGTCTCCATCAAAATTCCAGAGCCTCTAGCAGGACCAGGAGCAGGCGAAATCGGAGCTCTCCTGACTGTTGTTACAAACCTTCCTAAAGACGCCCCTATACATTGCCTAATCAGATCCCAGAAACTACGGAAAGACCTAACAATCAACTTACCTAGACAAGAAGACGCCTACTGGCTCGAACACCCCCATAAGCTGCTTATGACAGCACTAGTCGTGAGTTTAAGAACTTGATGTGCCCTAACGACGCTGGCAAACTGGGAGAAGTCAACACCCAAACCAAACATGGACGGCGCGCTTACCCTTGCCAAAACTGGTGTAGCACTCGAGCTCATGCTAGGCTCATATCCAGCTATTTCCTGATACATGTCAAACATCTGAATCACTTCCCAATGTTATCTGACACTCATCCACTCAATCTGACGCTAACCTGCTCAATCCGATGTTTATCTGCTAAACCCGATGCTAATCCAATGGACCCGATGTTTTCCATGCATCAGACCTGATATTTTCCCGCACATTTGTTTTCCCTATGTCCTGTCCTGTCGTATCTATCCCCACTAGGTGCGCAGTTATTCATTTTCACGTCGCTAACATTGTAGAATGTGTTATTACATGTCCGCAGTACATCGTGTCTTATTACATAGGACATCGGATTCGAAAATCAGCGCTACTACTTTCGCCTATAGCACCCCGGAATTCTACATAGATACTATATATTTCGCATACCTCCTACCTATTTACTTTACCTTTCTACCTCCGAGTAGGAGGAGGTCATCCAATATTCATAGTTCTTAGTTGGATTCCGCAATATCATCCATTCTTTATCCGAAACATCTGACAGTAACCTGCCATTCACTATCCCCGACATTTGCTATATTTCCGACGTAAACCCGACGCTAACCCGATGCAACCCGAGGCAAACCCGCTAACCCGAAACCTGAAAACATCGGACCCGATGTTTTTGACATCGGACTCGTAATTATACCTTCGGACTTTGTTTCCCGCGCTTCGGACTATCTTCCTTTTGTTATAACTGATTATTCTAATACCATACAGCAAACCCCTCAGGTCGAACACACTTGTCTTGCAAGTATAAGCAGACTAGGCTGTGCACGACCACACATTTTTATATTGCTGGCTACTTACTTCGTGTAGTGACCAGCAATTGTTGTATCTCTACACCGGGATGAACAAGAATGAGCACGACAAGATCAAAACATCAATAATCCCTCAACTAGATCTGACCGGCGTTAAACTAAGTGCGGGCACACAGAGAACACTCTATAAGAATATAAGAAACTCCTAAGAGACTCCAAAACCAAGAAGATGAACCAATATGAACCTAGTGCTAACAATGTATGCAGTATACAATATTAACGGCGAGACACCAACAAATGACCAAGTCTGGCGGTCGCTCAGAAGCCTCGACACCCCGAAAAACATATGGGGATTCCTATGGAAGAGTTTGCACGGTGCCTACAAGATTGGAGAATTCTGGGACAAAATCCCCAACTGTGAAATGAGAGGAAGGTGCGGGCTATGTGACTTACCTGAGTCTATGGAACATATCCTCCTCGATTGTGACAAGTCCACAGCTTCCAAAACAATCTGGAAAGCCGCCAAAGAGTTATGGCAGAAACATGAATCAAATTGGCCAGGCGTATGCTTTGGCACAATCCTTGGATGTAACTTGATAACCTTTCGTGATCCGCAAAAGAAGTTGAAACTGGAAACGACCAGACTATTCAAAACCTTAATTTTAGAGTCAGCACACCTCATTTGGAAACTTAGGTGCAAAAGAACCATCAAATTTGGTGGGAACAGAGAAAAATACCATTCTGAGGCCGAAATCCTCAACAGATGGCTCCACACCATCAACATGAGACTAAAATTCAACAGGCTACTCACAGACTCTATGAGATATGGGAAAAAAGCCATTAAGGTAGACATGGTTCTAAAAACCTGGAGTGGCCTTTTAAAAGACAAAGATAACCTTCCAGATAACTGGATCTGACAATCAGGGGTTTTAGTGGGTACGACGCCTCGCCGTCCTCCAGGACGGAATAGGTGATTCTGAACAAGACGTTGAGTCCCACACTGCTTACATGTACATAAAGTATTTCCTCTGGGTGACCATTCTAACAAACACAGGTGAAACTCCTGCCCCCAAACGTATCCTCTAGGATTGACTTTGTCAGTTGCTAGTTGATAACATCGTTCCACCAAAAAAGAAAAAAATTTACATTAATAGAACATTGTATCATAGGCTACAGTATTGTGATCGGTCATAAATCCAGTTACATAGTACAAATAAGCACTGTCTGCAATTGCGTCAGTACTCAGACACCGCCCACGTGCAAAACTATCCAGGAAAGAAACAACTATGACTTCTCGATTTGCCATGGTTCATCCAACAACAAATCCACAGGAGGAACTTTTGCCTGAAGTTCAGATACTTGTGCTGCATTGATCTCGTAAAACTGCATCACATCAACAATTTTATCCAAGGTATCGTGATCCACACGCTCCAGGATGGTCAATTGTTACGCTGACCTTGGGGTCGGCATAGGAACTTGGATAGGTCTTCTTAGCGATGGCTCGAATGAGCCCACCGAGGCTAAGGGTGTTCGGCAACTTGACGGAACATCAAGGGTTCTTCCGGTTATCTCGGTAAGATGGTGCTCATCGAGATACAGGGCTAGCGGATACGGCTAAGGCGCGGGGAGCGACTTAGAAGTGCAGTCTAGACAACTAAGCTGGGAGGCTTAGTTGAACAGGTTTCAAGGGGAAACCAAGTAGATTAAAGTAAAGATCTCAGTACAATAATCTGTCTACTTATATGTCTACATATAAGTGTTCAAGCTCAGTCTGTATCTACTAGTATATCTATGGATCTATGTTATCAGAGATAACAAGGCATGAGGACGGTCATGAGGATGGATAAGATACATGAGGTATAACCTCTGATCAAGCATGAGGTGCCAAGGGCACTCCGGATCTTCATGAGGCTTCATGAGGCGGCAACAATCAACATGTGCCGATCTAGGGTGACCATGAGGCATACAGCCTCCATGGGTCAGGTACATGGCCTTCTAGGCCAGGGGCAGTGTCACAGCAGTCCAGACCGCTGTCTTTCTAAGTGCTGGCAGTGTGCCGCCATGTCAGGAGTCTAGCAGAGCGGGGGCTCTTGTAGGTGTTGCAGATGACTGTAACATCAATTGCCTATCATAATCTTGAATCCAAGTAAGAACTTCTTCACTTGTTGGAGATGCGAGGTAGGAAGCAACCACGAGCTTGATAGCCCTACAAGTGAGTTCCTGGCTTTCTGACACAATAAAAAGTGTCTGCAACACAAGCGTCAAGTGAATGATGTAGGCCATGAAGCGCTGAAGCACTGGGTGGCTGACAAGGAAGTGTTAGTATCCTTTCGTACACAAGAAAAAATAGTGATGCATACAATATCTGGTATACATCATAAGCCCATACGGCGAGTACGGCACCTGCTGCGATTGGTACTACGATAGGAGCCGCAGGTCCCGCCAGGGCCGACACGATGCCCGCAATAGCGGCCACCATGGATAACCCAAAAGCCCTGTAAACATTCAATGAGATAAAAATCCATTTGTCACGTAAAAGACCAGCTTACACGTTTTTGTTGGGATTAGCTGTCGGGCCAACTTCTATCTTATCGACTATGTTCATCATCATCGTCCTAAACTCTTGACTGTGCAAGTACTATGCGCAAATCGTGTTAGGGTGGATGCGACAACGGCAAATAACCTGCCCATTACATGATGAGGGTCATGGAAGTTCCACACATTGACGATGTCAGTGTGAAGCACATGTAGACAATCCCACATCTTGCGGTTCTTGAACGTTGGGCATGACGCAAGCGCTTTCCAGTATCCTGCAAGACATCAAGATTTAGACCGTGCTCAGTAATCATGAACGCGAAACTGGGACAGACTTTTCTTCCCAACTCTGATGCTGCATAAATCATGAGATAAGAATGAAGTAAGTAAGACTCACTCGATTGATGCCTTTATTTTGAGTCCAGGATGCACTCGCTGAGCGATAGAGGTCATCACCACGGCCTCAGATGCAAAGTGCTGAGCAATGGAGGCCGTCGCCGAGGCCTCAGATGCAGAGTGCTGACTGACACACTTTTCAGTTATTTGGATCAGGTGGGTGAGCATCTCTTCATAGTCTTCATCGGCTGTAATATTACGCGTCAGAGGTACGCATAAACTTGTCAAAGTATTGATACACACTAGAGACAGTAGCGTGGGGAATATTAGGCCCTGAAAATTGCTCTAGAGGTCCAATGCAAGTATCCTGCAGCTCGGCTTCTGCGTTTTTCTTGGTGAGTTCCTCGTAGGCTTCGTCACTCAAAGAGCTTCCACCCAGTGTTCGCTGTATGCGTTCGATTAGCATATTGTACTTAGTAAGAACGACGACAATGGGAACTTTGACAAAGTGTGAGCTCCAATGTAGCATAGAGATAGTTATTGATTCACTTACCATTTCCTAGCATTCCACTATTTTTCGATTTCAAGAATTCTTCCGTCCCCATCTCTAGTAAATGTCCGCCTGCACGGGTTATCTCAAAGCAAAGCCTTCCATGTGTTTGGTCAGTCCACCATAACGGAATGGTTGAGATAGAATCCCTACCAAATGGCATGCAACTCAGGCTGATGTTCCGGAGACATTTTTCTCCGATGGTCAATGAAATCTCAGACTATTTCGAGGTTGTCTTCATCTCCTGGTTCAAAGCCTTTGCTATCATGGAGAACAAACCTTTTGTTCTGAGATGAGATGAGCTCCTTGTCAATGTGGGCCTCGCCTGGCTTATTGTGCGCAACGATCTATTGACAGTATGAGTAGCTGTGCTCGTTGAAGGGTCATGTTTGGCCTACCTCTTTTTCCACTCCAAATGCATGGCTGATCAGCGATGACTTGCCGACACCAGACTATTAAAAGCACATCTTCAACACTGGCCTGGGATTGGAAAGAACCAGTACCTTTCCTACCACCAGAATTTGGAACCTTGGGAGTATCAACCTCAAGAACGGCACTTTATGATCATCATCACTTACTGAAGACAGCGCTGGAATATTCCGGAAGTAGTGGGCTCAGGGCTTTGACCAGAAGAGACAGGATGTTCAGCCTGCTAATCTACGATTTAAGACAGGCTCAATGTCAGATGTGGATCCTTACTTCAGTTGAAGTGTTCCCAACAAGGTCAACAACAATACTGAACTTTTCATGTAGCTTGACGTATTCTACACATGTGAAGTTGAGCTCATGAGTGATTAAGATAAGAATGCAACAATTCATGTTTCACCCTGTCTGGCATTATACGCGTGGGACATGTCATCTGGGTTGAAAGCAATGTCTTTGTGCTTGGTTCTGAAATGTTTCTTGTAATGCATACACAAGGTGAATGAATCTCTGTGAAAAAGCACCCTAAGGCAAAAAAAAACACAGAAGTGACTTAGGTGAGAACATGTGTTAGGGTTGAGTACTTACATGGGTGGAAAAAACGTACATCGCAAGCTCTTTCCTACTTCGCGTTCGAGTTCAATTGACAAATGCTTGTTGATCCGTACTTCAGCAGACTTCACATTCGTTTTTGACTTGCTGAAATCAACGGTGATACCTATTGGATATATTCAGCGGGGTTGATAATACCACTTGAGGGTAAAAAATGAGTACCATGGATGCGGAGAGCTGTTGAGGCGTGAAGAGCATTGGCCATGTTGAGGGAAAAGTTCTTCTCTGAGCTAGAACGCAAAAGAGGGGGCCAACACTTGCAGTCGTCATTATAACAAACACGTGGATCACAAGAATGGTATAGCTCGTGATCAGAGGGCTATACTACTTCCATACCACAGAAATTGTGAAGACATGGTGGTCTACTTAATTACATACAGCTGTCTACAAAACTTCATCCTACCAGCAGTACTTGCCCCTGCGCCGGTATACCGCACCAGTGCACCACTACCAGCCATCATCATATGTACACTCAATATTTGGTGACTCGGATATGTTATCCGTTCTGAACTTTAAGAGAGTAATGCACACACATTGTTTTCAGGAGGCGAAAGGGTAATACACAATTTCAACGTGTATTTAATACTAATTTCAAATATGGACTCATGCATTGCTAGATAGGCTGGCTCCGGGTTGGGTATTTGCTGGCTGCAATGATTATAAGGCCACACCAACACTAGTACTCCTCCATTACATTTACTAGTACCTCCCCCCATGGATCCTTCAGAGATAAGACAGAAAATCGGTCGCTTTCGAATCCTCATCAGTAAATTCACACATTGCTTGAACATCCTTTTTTGCAACTTGCCGCTGGGTAATTCCAAAAAAGGAGCAGAAAAGTCATTCATAAGAATGGTGACACCAACTTGCCATCAACTTGCCACAAGGCAATTTAAGTCGAAAAAGTAGATGCCTCCTCTTGACTTCGACTTTTTTCAAGCTTTTTGTTGGCTTTTTTGGCACTTATTTGTAAAATAGCCCACATTGCAAGTAGTGCAAGTTGGGGCTACTTATTTCACTTATTGTCTACCTATTTCACACTTGTTTCAACAAAAATGACAAAATATTGCATTCAAGGATAATTACATGATAGGACTACTAAGTACTAGTGGGGAAAACAATACAACTACTTGTGGCGGCGGCAACTAGATGCAGAAACAAACTCAAAGAATGGGGAGCCAGCAGCAGCAAATTTTGAAGAGGGTGAAAGGCGGGATGTGAGGAATGAAAGGCGGCATACAAGGCAGATGGCACACGAGGCAAGCAGCAGACTGCAATGAAGCAGACACTATTAGTAAAAGGAAGTAAAACAAATGAAAAAAACTTACTTGGAGGTATGTGAAAGGACAGGCGAAGTTTGGACACTGAGGCAAGCAGACATTATTAGTAAAGGGAAATTTAAAAAAATGAAAAAAAAACTTACTTGGAGGTACATGAAAGGATGGGCGAAGTTTCAGACACTGAGGCAAGCAGACATTATTAGTAAAAGAAAATACAACAAATACATAAAAACTTACTTGGAGGCTATGCGAAAGGACAGGCGAAGTTTCAGACACTGAGACAAACAGACATTTTTAGTAAAATGGAAAAAAAAACAAATAAAAAAACTTACTGGGAGGTGTGTGAAAGGGTGCGAGACCATGAGAGCAAAGTTTCAGACACTGAGGTATGGAGGTATGTGAGATGATGCATGGAAGTTAGATTGAGAGTCAGACAAGGTTGAACGTTAACGTTGAGAGTGAACTTCGTGTGAAAAACTGATGTGGTTCAAATATGACATGTGACACATGATGGTTCACAGCACTCGTTTTTGACAAGTCCTGAAACTGCCTGTGCCCGTCTTTGTCATACTGACTTTAGCTTCATGCAGATTGAAGGAATCTGTTTGTATAGTTTGGGTTTGGGTACTGTACGTGCATCTATCAATTGTTCTTTCAATTTTTGCTAACTGCAGCCCTCCGCACACCCCCCGGCACATCTCTCGCATCCTCCCAATCCAACCATGCCCAACTGCGCCCTCCAGCACCCTCCTTGTTCGAGTCCGAGCCATGCTGATCCAAGTCATTGCCACCATTCGCAGGAAGTGAGTGTGTCGATCCTCGTTCAAGCAAGACCCATGCTGATCCAAGTCGTTTCCTGCCGTTCGCAGTTCATGAGTCTGTTGACCCCCCTTTGAGCTCAAGCCATGCTGATCCAAGTCGTTTCCCGCCGTTCGCAGTTCATGAGTCTGTCGATCTCGTTATTGTGTTACTACTACTGATATGCATTGTACCTACACCCATATGTCTAGTACATGAATACATGGGTCACGAGTTACTACCTGCCGCGGGTTACATACCAAGTTGAACTACTTATTTACTTGCTGTACTTATTTCTGTTTTGAATACTTGAACTGACTTTTTTGATCTTATGCTACTTTTCGGCACTTGTGTGTCATACACTTCCTTTTTTGACTTGTGAAAACAAACAGCCAAGTGAATAAAGGTGAATAAGTGTCAATAAGTTAAAAATAAGTTTTAATTTTCGAAAAAAGGTCTGCCAAGAAATGTGTGAATTTACTGATGCTCGTGATAGGAAGAGCGAATGCAGGAAAAACTACCATCCTCCAAAGAGTGTGCAAGACACGGGACAACCCAGAAATATACAACAGCGCAGGGAAAAAGGTGGGCATCACAATGCTAGCAGGAGGATGGTAATGACCCATCATCATCAGATTGATCTGGCAGTTTTAGCAGCATCCAGAGAGGTATGAAGGTGTGCTCTTACTTGAGAACATGAACTGACGTACTCTCAGCGTGGAGAGCATGACATGGAGAATGAAATGATGTTTAAAAGCAACCTGGGATTTATCTTCCACGACTCATGTGGTTTCGAGGCAGGCGGCGAATCAGAATTCAACAAGATCAAGGCATTTATCACCTGCTGTTCCAAGGAAACCAAAATAAGAAACAAGCTCCATGTCATCTGGTAATTGCAGCTTGTCATTCATGACATGCGCTAACTCAAGGTGTCAACATAGGTACTGTATCCCAATGGATGAGGCCAGCAGGTCGTTCACCGCAGCTGAAAATAAATTTTTCTCTGAGTGCGACACAGGAACCAGTAAGCTTTCGCATCCGACTGGCACTGATGCTTGACTGATGCACAGAATCCCAATCATCAGTTCCAGTGATCATATTGTTCACAAAGTTTGATGCCCTCTATGACGTTGCATTCAAACAGCTCAAAAAGAATGGAACACCGCTGAAAGAGGCTACAACACTGGCCCCAAAAAGACGACAAGTGTGTTCGACCCTAAAGGGGAAGCAAGTGCAGCAAGGATCTAGAGGTATGCGCTGAAAGCGCTACTGGTTGGCCAATGCGAAGCGCGAGAAAGCGCAGGTGCGCGCAAGGCGCGGGAATGCGCGCGTGTATGGCGCGAAGCATGGGAAAGTGTGCGCGTGTATACAGATACGAGAGAGAGTAAGAGTGAGTTTGCTTAAGTGATGATATGATGTAAGACAAGAGAAGAGAGATGCGAGGTGTAAACAAATAGATTTCTACTATGTTCTGCTAGGTAAATAGTGGGTAGTAACCAGTAAGTCCTCTGTCGTTCTGGTGGGAGAGTAAGTGAGTAAGTCATAGTATGTACTGCTGGCGCTTAAGTATGGCGCCTAAGTGCTGTCATGCGGAGCCGAAGCGCTACCGAGTAAGGTATGTAAAGATATATGTAAGTAAGGGTCCATGATAAAAATAAAGATGGAACGATAAGCAAATGTGAGAAATGGAAATATACGCACTAGGGAACTTGGTGGACAGTGGATGGATGCTTCCGGATGGCTGGCGCTATAGGGCGCTCAAGCGCGGGAAAGCGCGCGCGCATATACATCGTGAAGCGCGGGAAAGGTACGCGCGCATGGCGCGCGTTGCGTGGGAAAGCTGCGCCTCATATAGAGATAGCTGCGGGTAGCACACAGAGTGATGCTACAAGTTCGTGCCATGTACTCCCCAGTGAAAACTGCCATATTGCACAATGAGAGGCATGAGTCTCTACACCGCCATTCACAGCGTGTGAGTGTCTCGATCCTGCTTCGAGCTCAACCCATGCTCATTCAAGTCATTTCCCACTGTTCGCAGGATGTGAGTGTCTTGATCTTGCTTGGAGCTCTACCCATACTGATCCAAGTCGTTTCCTGCCGTTTGCAGCTTGTGAGTGTCTCAATCCTGCTTGGAGCCCGAGCCATGCTGAGCCAAGTCGTTTCCCACCGTTCGCAGGGTGTGAGTGTCTCGATCCTGCTTCCAGCTCGACCAATGTTGATTCCAGTTGTTTCCCGCTGTTCACAGCTTGTGAGTGTCTTGATCCTGCTTCGAGCTCAAGCATGCTGATTCCAGTCGTTTCCTGCTGTTTGCAGGGTGTGAGTCTCGATCCTGCTTTGAACTCGACCCATGCTGACCCAAGTCATTTCCTGCCGTTCACAGCTTGTGAGTGTCTCAATCCTGCTTCGACCTTGAGCCATGCTGATCCAAGTCGTTTCCCACCGTTCGCAGCTTGTGAGTGTCTCGATTCTGCTTTGTGCTCGACCAATGCTAATTACAGTCATTTCTCGCTGTTCATAGGGTGTGAATGTCTTGATTCTGCTTCGAGCTCGACCCATACTGATCCAAGTCGTTTCCTGCTGTTCGTAGCCCATGAGTGTCTCGATCCTGCTTTGAGCTCGAGCCATGCTGATCAAAGACATCATCCATCCCATTGATAGCTTGTGAGTGTGATCATGCTTTGTCCATATCATGCCTTGCTCACCGATGTAATCATGAATTTGTTGTTAGGATGTGGGTGTGTTTCTTCTACGTCGCCCTCACTGACTGAACACATTTCTCATCCATCAACAGATCGTGAGTTGGGCGATCCACCATTGAACTTGAGCCATACTGACTGACAACACCACTGATCTGTTGACAGTGGGTTAGTTTCTCCAACCTCATTTTCGTTCTTATTCGAGCTCTAGCTTTGCTCACCGATGGCACTGCTCATTCACTGACAGCAAGTCAGTATGCTCATCCCTGTCAAGTTCGAGATTTACTTACCACTAAAATCGCAAATCCCTCACAATAGAGTGTAAGTCTAGAGCCTTGCTCACGAGCGACATCATTGATACATCAATAGGATGTGCTTCGTGACAATCACTACAATCACTGTGTTGAGATACAGTCTAGGTTGCTCTCTGTGGTATGTCCAATTGGTCACAGATTGCAGACACATTTCTCATGTTGTGAATGTGCCAGGCCTCTGGTTCATTACCCTTGGAGAACATTGTTCAGCTTGGTTCTGGTTAATTTTGATGCTACGTTGCAATGAATCTGCTTATTATTGATCATTCAGCTGCTGTCATTATCTTCGAACACTCCTTCTACATTTTCAACAGGCGGCACCATCTTCAAGACAAGCAAATGTATGCTCCCTCTTTTTCTGTCATTCAGCGCCATCTTCAAGACAAGCAAACATATGCTCCCTCTTTTTCTGTCGTTCTCGAGCAATACATTGCGTCTCTGCATGCAGCTGCTGTGAAGGAAGCTGTGAGCGCTGCCATCCAGGCATATCAAGAAGCTGTAGCTACTGCTTCCCATGCATATGAAGAAGCTGTGAGGACTGCTGTCTATTCATATCAAGGAAATTCGCCTACTTGGATAGCGAAGTTACCGTTTGCACCCTTGAAGAGGAAGGCAAAAACAGCTTCTGAACGTTTTAAAGGGAAGAAGGAAAAAGAATCTTCATGCTCTCGGGCAAAGGCGGAGTTAATACAGGCTGTTGTTGAGATCACTTTAAATCATCACCTGCGTACTATGTTTCACTGTCATATTGTGGCAGCCATCCCACTGATGTACTTGTCTTCAGCGAGACCTTAATGTTGGGCGATGCGACGGTTCGGAGTGGTGCTGAGGTGTATTGTCTGGACTCTGTGAATGCAGGTTGCTCGCAAGGTTTCTTGAGGTAGTTGTAGGAGTTTGAACTGTACGAAATGGTTGTACATCGGTAAACTACAAATTTCTCCACAGACATCAACATTTTCGACAGTTCTCACAGTAACCCACAGAGGCACAGTGCTCACAGCAAATTTCTCCCAGGTATCAACACTTTTCTGCAGTTCCCCACAGTTCCCCACAGAGGCACAGCGCTCACAGGACGTACAGCCTCACAGCGTCTGTCAGTAAGATAGTACTATTATAGTTACTACGAGGCCTAAGTATTACTTCAACTCATAATCCTAAAAGTACTTAGAATTTAAATTTAAAGTCACACAATTTGAAGCATCCACCAAGTCAAGCGTATGAAGCAGAATTTTATATCCATATTTACTATACTACCAGTACTGCTAAATACAAGCTATTTGATACAACTTAAGATACTCAACATTAGTCCAACTGTATGGTTAGATGGCACTGGGATGCGGTGAATGAGTCTATGATACAGCGTTAGTCGGTAGTGCTGTGTACATGAAGGCGGACTTACCATGGAAATCGGGTGGCATTGAGCAGTGAGAAAGTCCATGTTTTTTGAATGTGATGTGCATATGACCTAGTCCTACATCTGCCTTGTCAAGCTTCCACTTAGAAATGGCAGACTTATATTTCGAAAGATTGGTCATGACCTCGTGTTCTCGGACAACACAATTAGCAAGTGTTTTCTCTGCATTAAATACATCGTGTCGGGCCCTTGTGAGGTCCATGATGAGGTTGGCTTCAAGGTTGTCAACATCATCAATGGTCTGTATGCACATTAACAAGCATTGTAAGACTCGCATATCAGTTACTTACCATTAACCCAATAGCGTCAACAACATCATACAACTCAGTGATACCACCACTGCCAGGATCACCCAGAGTTCGGCTTGATTGCCTCTCATTGGAGTATCGCAGGCACATACATGACGCTGATGGTACATCACTAGAGATATTTAGATGAATTGGTGTGTGGCTTGACTCGGACATGAGTGTTTTGGAGAAACTAATATGGCTTATTGATTCCGGATATCACAGCTTACTTCTGAACTCAGAATCTCACACGCACGTCAATACTACTATGTCATTACTTCAAGAATGTCCTTCGTGCAGCAAGGGTGGTTTCAAGGACCATGTCGCTGTTGCTCGACACATGAGCCAACCTCGCTCTGGCTGCAATACTTGGCTGCAGAATCTGATATGCTTGGATAAACCAAATAATCCCATGAATATGGACGACAGAGTAAATAATCCCGACATGGAGTCCGGTGGTTTTGAAGATTGGGATGAGGTGTTCCATGGGAGTAGTAGTGAGGACCAGGTTCATGATGAGCAAACACCAACTCGCGATTTGGAAGTTATGGACTCATATCCTGACTGTGCTCAATCATACGGCAGGGGCTACACGTTCCTGGACTTATTCAATGCGGACGAGAACAGCAAACACCGTGTTACGAATCCATATTATCCATTCAGTGGCCAGAGAGACTGGGAGGTTGGGTCATGGTTGCTTCGCTCAGGGTTAAGCATGGGGAAGATAGATAGTTTCCTTTCGCTTGAGATGGTGAGTAGTAATAAATTCTTCAATAATATATAGTTTTTGAAAGTGTCTCTTTCAGATAAAGACCCTTCCATTGTCGTTTAGTTCAGCCAAGGAACTATGCAGCAGAGCGGAAATGTTACCCAGCAGTCCATGCTGGATGTCTCAAACAATACCTACAATGCATCCCACGAAATTGCCTGTTGTCTTGTATTGGTGTGATCCCTTAGATTGTGTATCAAGTCTTCTCAACCACCCTGCCTTTCATGATCAGCTAGACTTTACACCTCGCAGGGTGTATACCACTGTGCAGCAGCTGTGCCATGTATATTCCGAATGGATGACCGGCGATGACGCATGGAATATGCAGGTACATATAGTTTCGTTTGTGCGAGTCATTATACTTATCTGTTTTTGGACAGTCAGCCCTACCAAGAGGTGCAACACTCCTCGGGACCATTTTATCTTCTGACAAGACAAATATATCGACCATGATGGGCGACAGAGTTGCACACCCCCTTCTAGTTAGTCTTGCTAACATATGCATGTCCACGCGACTCAAGTCGTCTTTGAATGCATTTGTACTTACCGCTCTACTTCCTGTCCCAAAATTCATCCATAAGAAAAAATGCATGCAAGGTGTACTTGAAGATCGCCTCATTCACAAATGCTTGGATATCGTTCTACGTCCACTCAAGTTAGCCGCTCGCGAAGGGATCATGCTTTCAGATCCTGTTGGGCACAGTCGCTATTGCTTTACACCGCTCGCGAGCTATATTGTTGACACCCCAGAGGCCATGATGCTGGCCGCTGTTGGAGGGAAAACCTCCCTAGTCACTACAGCCATGTACAAACAGTTTGGAGACCCCTTTTGTCATCAGCCTCGCACAGGAGCAACTACACTCTCCCAGCTGGACATTGCATGGAGTAAAGCTGATCCCAACGACATTGAGACATTTTTTCGCAAAGCACAGAAGTTTCGTTTGAATGGCATGAATGCACCATTCTGGCTGGACTGGCTCCTCAGTGATCCATCACATTTTCTCACTCCCAAATTTCTTCACCTCATTCATTGCGAGTTCTACGACCACGATGTGAAGTGGCTCATTTGCGCAGTCGGGCATACAGAGATTGATTTTCGGTTTTCTGTGCTGCAGGCGATCACTGGGTTCCATCATTTTCATGGCGGAATTTCAAAGCTTAAACAGGTTACAGGACGCACTCAACATGACATCCAGCACTCAATCATTGCAGTCAGCACAGACACAGTTCCTAACACCGTGATGACTGCCATACGAGCTCTGATAAATTTTTGGTACCTTGTACAATCACCCGTAATTGACAACACCCTACTCACCCATATTTCCATGGCCCTTGAAGAATTTCACAACAACAAAGATGCAATTATCGAGGGTGGATTTCGTCGTGGTCAGTGTGGCAGAGTCATTGAGAACTGGTATATACCGAAGCTAGAGCTCATGCAGTTAATAGTTCCGAGCATAAGGAACACTGGAGTTCCTCTGCAATGGACTGCCGACACCACGGAGCATGCGCACATAACGGAAATCAAAGATCCTGCTCGCTCAAGCAACAACAACAACTATGATCCCCAAATATGTCCCCATCTTGATCGTGCTGATAAATGCCGCCACTTTGACCTTGCTATGAGTCTGCTCAACAATATGCCAGACTCAAAGCAGCAGGGTTCAGATGTTGATGTCGATGAAAATGTCAATTTCGATGCGGACGATGATCATGATATCCCAACAGACCTTCTGGCAATGATTAAATACCCTGGACATTCACATCCAATCACCAATTACTTCGGAATGGCTAAGGTCCTCCAGCACAGGGAAATCGGGACGGTCCCTATGCCATTGCATTTGTTTGTTGTCGAACGCACAGGATTTCACTTCGCTTATGACCCCTCCATTAGAAAGATATCTGTTGATGATGCTGCCATCAAGTTTGACCTTGCTGACTTACGACCAGCCATTGCCGATTTTCTTCATTGTGAGGATACTCACAGGAGAGATCATGTCCATACTATTGGGGGAGCTAGAAGAGCTGGACCCACTGCTTCACTTCCCTTTGACACACTACAGGTCTGGTTTAAACTTCGGCTGCAGGACACCGAATTCCACAATATTAGCATCATACGGCCTGTGCAAACCCTCAACTGTGCGCCCCCTTCTGATCCCTGGACCTCTGGCCGGTATGATACAGTTATCATTAACAACGATGCGGGATGCTTATGGCCCACAAGTGGTCTTCATGGTACATTATGCTCTCACGTCGCACTGAATATTTACTTATTGTCAAGTCACAGGTCATACTATCGGTCAAATCAGGCTTATCATGCGTCCTATTGGAAAGAGTGGCATGAATTGGTCATGGAAGGACTGTTTTCTGGTATATGTGCATCGCTTTGACATTGTTCCTCAAAGCTCTGGCACCAATGAGCGTGAGCCAAGTATGCAGCTCCACTTGCTCAAACGAGCGAAATGCTCAAATGGTACTCAGGTGGGTGACATCATACCCGTTACGCAGCTTAGAGCACCTGTGAACCTTATCCCTCGCTTCGGTGCAAGTGCGGACAACCATCTCACCCCATATAACAGCATGGAGCATGCTTCACAATTTTGGCTTAACAAGTATTGGGACAAGAACATGTATCTTCCTCTTTCTATGTAGTTTTTGACGTAGGGTTACCTTGTTTCTTACTATGCAACGAACGTGTTGGTTGAGCGGTCTAGCCTTTGGTTATTCTCATCTGTTTTACTATTCTTAGATACGCTGGCTGAGAATTCTGGCGCTATGTGGCGATAAGCTCAAGCGCTCATCGTTTGTCTCCATTGTTCAACGTACGAAAAAATGGCATTCTTTTTCAGGACCATTGACAACAGAATCAAATTATCATCATTGCTGTCTATCCCCAAAGTCACCGATGTTCACACTATGAACAAGATCACGTCTGATGAGCTTAATCGTCTAGTCACTCACGAGGGTCCACCAGAGGCCTCACGACCACTAGGACACCTACTTTCTGAAATATTCCAGCCTTTCACAGAACCTCTTCCCAATGTATGTGACCTTAAAATACCTTTTGGAAAAATCATTCATCACAACCATCGCATCAATCAGAAATTCAGCGAGACATCACCAGATACCCTAGTGCCACTGTACAACACTGAAGTGAAGACTTGGAATTGGGCTCTCCCAGTTGACTCACCTGGAAATGATGATAGTAGCCTTCCGAGTCAGGTCGAGTCAGAGAGCAATAGTACACAGGAAGCAACCCATGAAGAAATTGTTGCAGCATTTCTCAATGCTCTGGCTGGCTGCTTGGCGGCGTCACAGCCCAAACAAGTAGCCATGCGCTTTGCAACTAGTTCATGGAGTGCGGCCAATGCACATGAGGCATTGCCCGGCAGTGACATCAAGTGCAAGCCAGATATTGTTCTATCTGACGACATTTTAGCAAAGTGGGGAAATATCAGAGTCTCAGCTGAACTCACACACAGTCACTACCGGCCTGCGATGCGACTTGGGAAGGCTGCAGATACCCATGCCTATCTTATGATGAGTGAGCAGCCCTGGAGGCGCTTTGCTCTCATATTATCATTCACAGATGAATATCGCCACCTTAGAGTCTTGATGTATGATCACTCTGGTGGTGCTGTGTCCCCTCACTTCAATATCTACACACAACCTGACATATTCTCACATATCATCGCTGCTATTACTTTTGGGAGTCTGGAGTGTGTCGGCTATGATCCCACTGTTTCCTTCTCAAGGATTGTTTCACCACCTCGATCCAAAGATATCTGCATCTATCATCCCATCAAAAATGCTTCTGCCCGACGTAGTACGACAGATTATGCTATTGCTGCATCCACCTCCAATTCTCTTCCATTTCCCGAGGATCCCGATGGAGTGTTGTCTAGTGATGCTCTTAAATCGGCAGTCTCTGATAACTATGAGTCTTCTAATGACTCTACTCATGATGCAATGCCGAGCGGCTCTCCCACACATGACTCGATGGACGAGGAGTACTTCCCTCCCCCCTCGCCCCCAGTGCACCCCACTGCAACCCACAGTGCTCCCCTTCTTAGCCTTGCATCCCAAGCACCCCAGGCTGAGATGACCGAGAGCATCTATTCTGTTACCCCTCTCCCTTCCCAATTCCCCTATTCTACTCAATCACCTGAACCCTGCGGCAAGATCTGCGTAGGGCAGACAATCTACACCATAAAGAGAATTCTTTTTGGGAGCCGGGGCCTCGTTGGTCATGGCACCGTTTGCTACTTGGTCACCTTAGACGATGAAGACTATATCATCAAAGACCATTGGGTTGTGGGTAAGGACGATCAGGTAGTCCTGAACGAGATCAAGATGCTGGAGTTGATGGATGGTGTCCCTGGTGTTCCAAAGCTGGTGGATTATTGGGTCGTTGAACGGTCAGATGGTAAGCCTGACGTTACCAAAAAATATCGGCAAAAGGAACACCGGAGCACCCAGGGGACTAGTCGTACTCATGTGCGTCTTGTCTTGAAGCCATGTGGTCGCCCCCTTCACATGTTCCGAACACTTGAGTTTGTGCGAGCACTAAGAGATATTGTTAAGAGTAAGTATCTAGTAATTCGTGGGGCGTCTTGAACTGATGCTCTCTAATGTTAGTTTAACAAACTGCGGTGGAGGAATGTCAGATTTTGCATCGGGATTGTAGTCTTAACAATGCGATGATCCTAGATGACGTTAACGCTAGTGAAGGCTTTCTTATTGACTGGGAGTTTGCGGTTTGCATCGCTGCAGATCACAAATATCCCATTGGTGGTACAGTAAGTACACTTAGTATTGATTAGATATTCAGTTTATTGATTCATTTGCCAGGGCACTGTCCCTTTCATGTCACACACACTTCTTAACCAACTCTCAGTCATCCAGCAGGAAGCCAACTTGGAATCTCAGAAGAAAAAAGCGACTCGGGGACGCAAATCAGTCGAAAAACCGAAAACCCCGAAGTCGTCCTCCGATTCTAAGGTGCTACCTATAACATACGTCATTCAAGGTTTTTTGGATGACCTGGAGTCCCTTTTTTTTGTGTTCGCGTGGGTTTGCATCAAGTTCTGTGGTCCCAACGGCATGGTGCACAAGGAACGCTTGCCCAATTCGTTACTAGATTGATGGACCAACCTTGACCTGGCGTCATGCGCCGCCTTCAAGATCACTTTTTTTGTGAATCCAACAGATGGAAAGCGTCTTCTGGACGAATTTCACCCATACTTCAACACCCTGATCCCCCTCGCAATAGAGTGGCGTAGAGTTCTGGTGGACAACATGATCCACCCTGTCACCTTCGACACCATTCTTGGTGTACTCAACTCTCATCTCGACAAGCTTCCTGACGACGAGGAGCTCGTATCTACTGTAAACATGCTCAGGAATGATGCTGTCATTCTCACACATCGTGTCAAGGGCAAACAGATTGCTTCAGAGTCTTTATCTGTGGTAGCCACAACACCCAAGCGGCAAAAGTCTCATCATGGTGATACCGAGTCCGACTCCTCACCATCAGGCAGTGATGCATGACCAGACATGGAGCTTGTATGTATGAAAGATCATTTAATTTGGGCACCCACTCATTATGCATATTCAGCTGTTTTTATTCTCTATCAACTCGGTGTATGGATAGCATGCCACTTGACTTTAGTATTTTTAGAACCTCACTGATCGTGTACTACTGCCAGTGACTCGGAGATTGGGGCAAGATGTGCTTACAATACTTACTTACCAGCACCTCATTTATTCCTACTAGTATTTCAAGCTTTTATTTGAGTTTTCACAATGATCGATCCTACTCGCCTGGGATCATGTGATGCTGACTCCGGATATGATTATATAAGATTTTGACTTATATGTCAGCAATCTTCTGGTATACTTACTACAGTAACTGACGTGTGTTTCTAGTACATTTCCTAGTGGAGCTCAGGCCGGACTCGGAGATATTTACAGATTAAAAATGTGCAGTACTCACAGCGATGACGATAAACCCTGGGTCAGGGAATTTTTCTCCTTCTTCAAGTCCAATGCCTGACTAGTATCTTCTCTACCAAATTTCTAGCTCTCTCTAGCTCGCATCTTACTTTCTCCTCCCCCAATGATGACCCGACCCTTATAGAAAGACATACGGCTGCACATCGGCTCAGGTCATGGTGTGTTTCTTTAGTACTGTTACTGTTACTAATGATGAAGTTTTTCTCGCTAGTCATGCGAATATTGAGCACAAGACATGATATTAAATCCTCGTGATGACTTAGGCGTGTTTCCTTATTACTATTGGCCTTATGAATGATGAAGTTTTCGCTTGCTAGCCATGTGAATATTGAGCAGTACGTGCATGATATAAAACCCTCGTGAGTCTGATATAATTTGTTAGAGTCGCCTTCTCCTGCATTCTTTCTTGCAGTCATGCCTCCTCGTACCATCACCAGTCCCAAGAAGAAAAGGTCCAAGTGCAAAGTATCTGATGCTTCAAAGGCTGGCTTGCCCAAGAAGACACGGGCTGCAGACGTTGCTGAAGTACCCGGTGCGGTACCTCTTGTATCCCTTGGCCTCACTGCAGCAGAAGTGACAGACAATGCACCCCAGCGTTCTGGCCGCCCTAACACGGGAACTGGAGGTAGGAACGCACAGCTGGAGAAGATTGGATCAGTACTACAATCTAAGCCTCAAACCTATGGACGTAAGGGCATGACGTCTCTTGGCCCTGACATTCCAGTCAATCCTCAAGCCCCAGAACCGCATCGTAAAGGTCGAAATAAGTCTTCAAAGGTAAGCATCTAATTAATGTTGTTACTTACGTTGATTGTCCCACAGGCGGTTCCTCCACCATATAGCTCACATGATCTAGATACCTGTCCAGATGTCCCAGCCATGGATATCGTTCACACAGGGCCCAGCTTTACATCGCAGCAACCTGGTGGAAGGTTCAGATTTGCTCCAAGCACTATGGAGATTGCTCATTCTGACACTACTGAGCTCAATCTTCATGCATCGAACGACCCATATGTCGCCATTAGGACAAAGGTCGTTGAGCAGCGCGCTCCTGACGCTATCGCTGAGCAGAGAGCTAGAGATTCAATTGCTGAGCAGCGAGCTAGGGACACAATCGCGGAGCAGCGAGCTAGGAACGCAATCGCAGAGCAGCGAGCTAGGGACACAATCGCAGAACAGCGAGCCAGGGATGCTATCACTAAATGGCACACCCAGAATGTTGTCCCTGAAAATCCAGTATTGCTAAGGTCCGTGTTTTTGGAGCAGAACTTGGATCCAGCCCTACATCAGGAGGATGACGTTGTTAGGGCTCAGTATCGTTTGAGGCTGCTAGGATCCGAGGAGCACAGTGACTCCAAAGGCAGTAGCAGCAGTGATGATAGTGACGACAGCGACGATGAAGATGCCAATGAAGAGGATGATGGAAAGGATGAAGAGGAGGGGGATAACAACGACACGGTCAAGAGCTCGCAGGATTTTGGTTGGGGGGAGGTTGGCCGACACCAGAAAGAACATCCAGGTAAATATTTCATAGCGATTTTTTTCCCTTCACTGATTCAATTTTGTAGGATTTTTAGAAGATGCACCACCTTCACAACCTGCAGTTGCTCGCGCTCTCACACCTGAATTTGAATTCCAGTACTTGCACGATGAAAATGATGTGATTGCCCAAACGAGCCTTGATAAAACTTCAGTAAGTTTTCTAGTCTGGCTGAGACCAATTCTCATTTTAAATTGCTTGTTCAGCAGAACAAAAGCTCTAAGGTATGATCCGATCATTCAATTGTATCATGCTTACATTGCTTTTCTTTCAAGGACCCTCCAGACAGCTCACCAGGACTGCAAAGGCAACAGTCCCAACATATTGAGGTAAGATCAGGGAGATCATCTTAATTGACACTCACAATTGAGCAGACCATTACCTCAAAGCCCGACGATGTATTGCAGTGCCATCATAAGAAAAATGGAAAGCCCCGCCTTCCTGACCCTGAATCCCTCAAACTATTGGATCAAGTGACCGAGTCTAGTGTCCAGCCGTCAAAAAACAAAAAGTCCAGGTCATCGCATGGTGGGCCAACGCCTGATCAATTATCTTGGTACGGGCCGCGCTGGAAAAGTTTTCTGGAGGATGCCAAAGCAGAATGTTGTGTGCAACACACCCTGGAGAACCCGTTTCCAACTTTGGTGAAGAATCTACCAGGAACAATCACTGAAGTTCTCATTGCAGTGTTGGTCGTGTGGGATACAAACGGCAAACAATTTGAAGCTGGCAAGTACTCATTCGTTCTTATTCGTTCTCAAACTCATCTGTCATATTGTGATGCAGGGGTTTGGCCAGAACAAAAATTCAATATGACTCAGTTGGTATGTGTATAATTCATTTTGTGCTGATACCTCACTGACTGTTACGACTGGGGTATGTCGAGCTGTCTTAGTCCGAGTGGACTGAGATTCGGCGAGACAGACGTGGTTCTTCTCTCGAGTGAGAGGTCAAAGGTTTCTGGCTAAGGCAAGTATCGGCGACTTCCTTAGAATGGTGGTTCTTAGATAGCAAGGTTGGAGACCTTGCTAAAGGACTTGTTCCAGGTAAAACCCAGTAGATTAAAGTGAGGAAATACATGTGGTACGCTATGTAACTATATAGCGTAAGTTCAAGCGGAGATTGTGAGTGCGTATCAAGATAGAAGGCGGACAGCCCGCTTGGTAAATGATAAGAGATAACAGATAAGAGATAGTGCGGACAGCCCGCTTGATAAGAGATAGCGATCTAGACCTGGCGATGGTTGCTAGCACGGAAAGCTAGCTTGATAATGATATGAGTAAGAGTCTGGAAAGTAATTGGCCTCTCGCTAAAGGCCGTGTCCATGTACCATTGACCGGTAGTAAAGGAGAAACGGAGAGAATGATTGTACCGTAACATTACCCCCGTGTTATGGTCGATGGCACCGGCATCGACGTCGCTAGTCGTCCTGGTTTGCGTAGTAGATGGGGTCGGCGTCGGCATTCTGGAATTCTAATTCCTCCGGCTGTCTCATATACTCTCTCTCGGCACGCGCGAGATCCTCTTCCTCTTTCTTATCCTTCTCTGCTTCCCACGCGGCTAATGCGTCGTAGAAGCCTTCGTCGGTATAAACCAACGGGAATGGTATTTTGGTGGTGGCGAAAGGGCAATAGATGGAGAAGTGCCCAGGTTTCGTGTCGCCGCAAACGCGGCAGTAATACAAGGGGCAGTTCTTGTGCTTGTGACCAAGCTTTTTGCAGAGTCGGCAGATGAAGTTGGCGTCGGCGATAGAGCCGACTATTTGTTTCAATGAGGGGCTTCTGATGACGATGCTAGAAGAAGGGATAGCGGGGGGATCTCCGGTAAGGTCGATGACCTCACGCTTCTTTCCTTTGGATGATTTCTTCTTGGTTACGCCGTGAATGGCGGCTCCGCCGCGGAGGTTCCTTCTTTGGACCTCACTGGGCGCTGGGACGGGTACAGGTACTGGCGCAAAGTTCCCTCCAATAGAAGTTGGATCAGGTAGAACAGCGGGGGGGTTATGAGTAATAGGAGGCAACGGGCGACCGACTTGGAAGGAGTTTCGATCTGCAACAATCTGTATAATTTCCCGGCAGATAGTGCTAAAACCAAGAGGGAATAACTGAAGCGTAAGCGAGCGTATGCGCCGCTGAACGTGGTTGCAGGAGAGTCGGAGGGCGTCGTTTTCAATCTGTTCAAACTCTTCTTCGAGGCGTTGGGTGGCTCTAATGATATGGATATATGTGGCAGCGACTCCTGCCGGCACTGCTGGCTGGTTATTGAGATAGGTTTCGATTTCGAGGGCGTGGGCGACGGAGAGGATAGTGGTTTCGACGATGACGTCGTCTTCGATACTGACAACGTTGTCAGCGAAGGGGGATTCGCAGAGGCTAATGGTGGAGGCATTGGATTCAGCGGGGGACGTGGTTTGGTAAGACATGTTTCTGTTGGTAGTGGGGACTGGTCGATTCAGTTCAACTTGTGCCTCTTCTTATAGGCGGAAAGTAGGTTCTCGGCGTTCTCCATGTTCTCCGCTGGAATCCATTCGTTGCTTCCAGAAGAGTATCCTTTCCAAGATACGAGATAGCGTCTTCGTTTACCCGTGCCCTTGTGACTTAGGACGGCTTCGACTTCGTATTCCTCTGATTGATTGACCATATCAGGAGGTGGTTCTTCGTAGTTCGGTCCGTGGATCTCCGTCTCCTGATAGGAGGATAGTTCGGAAGCATGGAACGTGGGATGAACCTTCCATTGTTCAGGAAGCTTCAGGGTAAACGTGATGGGCGATAGGACTGCGGTTATAGAGAATGGCCCGTGCCGTTTGGGCGCAAGTTTCCTGGATGGGAGAGTGGTCATGAGATTAGCTGCGGAGAGCCAGACCTTATCTCCTATCTTCCATGGTTGGTACTTCTTTCCGTGCGTTCTTTCTGCCATTCGTTGCATGGCGATATTGTGGCAAGAGATAGCTTCCTCCCTGATCTTTTGGAGTGTGCGAACCCTTTCTTCTACGGCAGGTGTATCAGACGATGGTAGTATGTGGGGAATACCGCGAGGTTCATATCCCATCATGAGGAAGAACGGCGATGCGTTCCTTGCTTCATGCCTTCGGTGGTTGTGCACAAATTCGGCGAGGGGTAAATGATCCGACCATTCATAGGGGTTACTTCTACAGTATATCCGGAGGTATGTTTCTATTTCTTGGTTGAGTCGTTCGGTTTGTCCATCGGTCTGGGGATGGTATGCTGTGGAGGCAGCGATCTGGTATCCTAAGAGGCGTGCTAATTCCCTAGAGAACCTAGAAACGAATTGGGGGCCCCGATCGGAGATCACTTTTTCATGGAGTCCGAAGCGTTTGAATACGTTTTTGAAGAATAATTTGGCCACTCCTTCAGAAGAGATGTTCTTGTTACAGGGAGAAATAATCACCCCCTTCGTAAGGCCATGGTCTACCACGACCATGAGAGAGTCAAAACCGTTGGAAACGGGGAGGTCGGTGACAAGGTCAACAGAGACCTGGGAGAAGGGGCGAGTCGCGGAGGAGGGAATGGGGACCAGTGGTGGCGAGACGGGGTGAGTGTCAGTTTTCATCTGCTGACAAAGAGCGCAACCGGCGACGTAGGAGCGAATAAAAGTGCCCATTGCGGGCCACCAATAATCACGCTTAACGAGTTCTTCAGTTTTGAAGCGTCCGGGATGCCCGGCAGTGGGATGGTCATGGTGGCGGAGTAAAATGGCAGTCCGGTGTGACGGTGGTACATAGGCGCGAGATTTATAATAAAGTACACCGTCCGACATCGCCCAGTCGGAGAGGGCTGATTTCATAGGGGGTAGGCAGAGCCCATCTAGAGCGTCGCTGGCCGTGGAGAAAATGGGGTCGTCTAAGGACTCTTGTGCAAGCGCAGCGGAAAGTTCGCTGTCAATCAGTCGTATAAACATGGAGTCAGGGAGAAGCACACGGTCCTCATTGTCGTGTTCTCCAAGGCCATGATCTGGGCGGCGAGAAAGTGCGTCGGGCGCTGCAAGTTTTGTTCCAGGGACGTGATGCAATTCAAGGTCATAGTTAGATAGAACAAGCTGCCAACGTGCTTGTCTCCGAGAGAGTTTCTGTGCTTTAGAAAAGTAGAGAAGGTTCAGATGATCGGTGAAAACGAGGATGGGATGGGGGTTTCCTTCTAGATAGTGACGCCATTCATTGAGGGCGCGAATAATAGCAAGGAGTTCACGATCGAAGATTTCGTAGTTTCGTTCGGCAGGGTTGAAAGATTGGGAAATGTATTCACAGGGGTGATAAACGCCATTTTCATCTGTTTGGAGGAGTACAGCCCCTGTTGCTACTAAGGAGGCATCTGTGGCAAGGGCGAATTGTCGGGTAGGATCAGGGTTCCGTAGGACCGGCTTCGTCGTAAAACACTGCTTGAGTTTGTCGAACGAGGCCTGCGCGTCAATCGTCCAGGCGAAGATTTGATCTTTTCGCGTGAGATTGATAAGCGGCCGAGCGATATCAGAGTAGTGAGATACAAATGCCCTGTAAAAGTTGCAGAATCCTAGAAAGGAGCGGACGTCTTTTACAGAAGTCGGGATAGGCCAGTCCTTTATCCCATTAACTTTAGCATGCTCCATTGCGACTTCCCCGGGGCGAATAACCATTCCAAGATACTCCACTTCTGCCGCGTCAAAAGTACATTTTTCTGGTTTAACAAACAGTTGTTCTCGGCGGAGTATCTCTAGTACTCTTTTCGTTCGTTCGTGGTGTTGCGTCAAATCAGAGGAGAATATGAGAAGGTCATCCATATATATGACGATCCATCCTTCATTGATTTCGTTTTGAAAGCGGTTGTTCATATAGGATTGGAACGTGGCGGGAGAGTTGGTTAGGCCAAAGAACATCACGGTAGGCTCAAACAGGCCTTCCTCGGTAGTAAAAGCGGCTTTCCATCTATCGTCGGGATGAATTCTGATGTTATTATAGCCGGATCGTATATCGATTTTCGTGAAGTACTTGGCTTTGTAGAGTCGTTCGATGAGAGTTTTGGGGAGCGGGAGTGGATATTGGTTGCGTACGGTCCAATCGTTAAGGTACCGATAATCCTGACAGGGACGTAATTCTCCGCTCTTCTTTCCTACAAAGAAGAATCCACTGGCTTGCGGGGATTTCGAAGGTACGATAAATCCTTTCTCGGTGTTTTCTGCGATAAAAGTTTTTACCGCTTCTCTTTCCTTTCCTGATAGCGGGTAGATTTTGGACGTTCGTGGCATGAATCCAGGTTTCAGATCGATCCGATGGTCGATCCCAGGACGTTCTGGTGGCAATTTATTAAGGCCGTCTTTTGCAAAAATGTCAGCGTAGGTATGCAGGTAGGGAGGAACGAGTTCTTCAAAACTCTTCTTCATTTTTTCTTTCTCCCCGGCGACAGCAAACTCCTGAGCTTTATTACTGGTTTTCGAATAGTTTTGCTCCTGCTTTGACGTGCCGTCTCTAGTGAGAGGAGTGTCAAAAGAGACGTCGGAGATTATTCTGACTTGGGAACCGTCAGAAGAGTATTCGATTAAGACGTCTTCATCGTTCAGCGGATAGAGGGAGGAGTCGACTACCGGAGGTGCATAGTTTTCCGACCATACATCTTCTTTGGTGTCATAATCCGGTTCGTCTTGATCCGGTGCGAGGCGGGGAAGTTCTTCGTCGGTGATTTCTTCCACAGAAACTCGTGGGTAGACGGGGTTTTTCTTGAGTCTGGAATTCTTCCATTCTCGGCGCGTTTCTTTCTCTCCGGGAGTAGCACTGCGAAATAGCAGTGGTAAATTGCGCTGCTTCCTAAGACGATCGATGTCTCTTTCGATCTCGAGCGATCGTTCGTTTGGTGCAAGAGTTAATTCCTTGTTTGTCCAATCGATTGACGGGTTTAGTGCTTTTAACCACGGGAATCCGAGCAGGATTTTATCCTTCTTCGATAGTTTGGTTATGTTGAACTTCCCTATCATGGTTCTTCCATCGATTTTGACAATAAGGACGCAGTAGCGAGAAATGAGTCCTCCTTTTGCATCAGATCCGTCTGCAGTTATAACGGGGAATGGTTTCGAGAGTTTGTGAGTCCTGATTCCGTGGAGTTTGCAGAATTCTTCGCTGATGAAAGTTCCGCTAGCTCCGGAGTCAATGACCATAGAGGTTTCGATGGTTTTGTTACGCTTGGTGGAAATAATAGTGGCCGGGACGCGAAGCTCCTTTTTATTTCCAAGTGATTGTACAAGTCGTATTGGGACAGGAGATACTGACATCGATGCAGTCTCCTTCTTTAAAAATCCATCTCCACGAACCGTCGGTTCACCTCTTCTTCGTCATCGCTACTCTCTTCTTTCTCAACCTTTCTGCGGATGGGCATCTTCTGTTTCTTATCTTCTCTGGGGTGGAAGGTAGTATCATTGGCACGATGGCCCGTCTGATGACACTTGAAGCAGCGTCCTTCTTTGAGGTGTCTTTTTACTTCAGATTCGGAGAGTTGGTCTATTTCCATGGCGTCGCTTCTGCGAGGAGTGAAGTGGCGGTCTCCGTATTTCTTCTTCCTAGGCTGGTAGTGCGTAGGGTTCTCTCGTTTCTGTATGGCTCTCAACCTCTGGAAGGCGTTATCTAGGTTGATGCATGTTGCAACGACGGTTTCGAAGTCGTCTAGACTTTCTCCAGTATGGTAGAGGTTGTTGCGAAGTCCTACGTCGAGACCTTCGCGGAAGAACTCCACTCTGGTGACGTTCTCGGTTATTCCTGCTTTATGGGCTAGGAGGCGGTAGTTGGAGATGTATGTGTGGAGGTCTCCTTTCATCTCAAGGGCTCGAACTTTAGCCATGGCTGTCCCCTTGGGATCAATAGCTCCGAAGGCTTCTTTGAACGAGACCTTGAACTCATCCCAGCTACCGTAACCGATGAGATTCCCTGCGGTATTCTTCAGCTTGGCGTTCTGAGCGGTCTCCATGAAGTCTTCTTTCCAAGCGGCAGCATTGCCCTTGGTCATAAACGAGAGCGCGAAGATTACTTTCTTCTTGTCGTTGTCATAGATTTTTTCGTTGATATCTAAATACGCATTACAGTTCAGCATGAACCTGTGCGATTCATCGCGGTCTCCGTCGAATTCGGGGGGAGTACCGATCTTGATTTCAAATTCTTTGGTAGTGGTCGCCATTGGATTTAATGGTGGTATTGGCGGTAGCGCGCCTAGATTCAAAGCTCCGATCAAAGGAGTTAACGAAGTCGTGGTGTCTTGCTGACGTCGCAGATGGCGGCGTCTAAAAAAAGGACTTTAATCTTTTGTTACGACTGGGGTATGTCGAGCTGTCTTAGTCCGAGTGGACTGAGATTCGGCGAGACAGACGTGGTTCTTCTCTCGAGTGAGAGGTCAAAGGTTTCTGGCTAAGGCAAGTATCGGCGACTTCCTTAGAATGGTGGTTCTTAGATAGCAAGGTTGGAGACCTTGCTAAAGGACTTGTTCCAGGTAAAACCCAGTAGATTAAAGTGAGGAAATACATGTGGTACGCTATGTAACTATATAGCGTAAGTTCAAGCGGAGATTGTGAGTGCGTATCAAGATAGAAGGCGGACAGCCCGCTTGGTAAATGATAAGAGATAACAGATAAGAGATAGTGCGGACAGCCCGCTTGATAAGAGATAGCGATCTAGACCTGGCGATGGTTGCTAGCACGGAAAGCTAGCTTGATAATGATATGAGTAAGAGTCTGGAAAGTAATTGGCCTCTCGCTAAAGGCCGTGTCCATGTACCATTGACCGGTAGTAAAGGAGAAACGGAGAGAATGATTGTACCGTAACACTGACGGTCTATACTGAAAGCTGTACGACGATCTTTCAACTTGGCGATCTGACTTGAAGAAGACCGCCATAAGCACTGTACCAGTATCATATTCGCTTGTTCCTCCGCTTTCGGTCCCCATTCAAGAACGTGCTGCTTGGATCGAACATGCTGCAGCTGAATTAATCAAAGGATCATTTTTCTTACGGTTTGGGGTGGATGAACAGGTAAGTGATTTTGTGCTGATTGCAATTGTACTAATGGAAGATTGCCAGGGGAGAACATGAAACTTCACTCATCCTGCCCTTCGTGAAGCCGTCATCGCATTCTTCTACACAGGACCATACCAAATCACGCAAAGGATGCCGGAGATCTTCCGCACGGAATTGCCGCTTTCATGTTTGGCTTTGGTTGCTGCAGCGGTAACTTTCTCTCCTTCACCAATATTGTATGTTAATTTTGCATCTTTATTATTAGTTCAATTGTGTCCTCGACAGCCTTGCGAAGAATGGACACGGAAAGTCATACCCAGATTTTTCCACGAAGGACTACGGACCTATCTATCGTCGGATGCTGGAATTGCTCAAACATATCCTTGAGGATGCGTATCATGGGCCTAGGCTGTTAGCTCAACTGCAAGAATGGGCTGCAGCAGGATGGCAAGGATCTTGACTCTGTGAAAAATTTTATACTGATTTTCATTTGTACAGGGCTGCAGCTATGAATCTCAAAGGGGTTGTTGAGGCGAGGCATGACCACCTGCAGATTCTTCTCGACTGATGTTTCGTCCCCTGTTTTATATCAACCGAGCATTTATCGTTTTAGCACACCATATCATTGTATTCCCGATTGTGATCTAGTACCATCTGTCATAGTCATGTGATTCAATATATTTTTTGTTTTATAATCTGTCCAGTGTGTTGTAAGCAGTACAGCGAGCAATGTCTGTACAGCTCCAATTCTCTGGATGCGCTGTGAGTGTCTGTACATAGATGGACAGCAAAAAAAATTGCAATTTAGGTAGAATTTCGTAATTACTGTGTGGTCTGTGAGTGTCTGTACAGAGATCCACAGCACAAAGTGTTACTGTGATGAACTGACTAATTGGGACCAAGCTGTAGAGCTTGCATGCTGTGCAGCACTGTACAGTGCCAAGTAGTTTACTGATGTATGATCACACAATATGGCGCTTTCCCCAGTATGATGTATGCTTGTTGACACATGAGTATGATACTGTAGTCTAGGTCATCTGATAAGCATCAGTGAATATCAGTCCTTGAAAAAGATCTCACTTTGATCTCACTCGTACACCGGGTTCGTCACGTGACCTGGTGGGACATGAAATTGCATATACTTAAGTCATTAAGTACACAATTGAACACGAGCAAAATCTGTTCCATGTGCAGATATAAAGGGGATGCACGAACTGGTGGTAACTAATAGTTTGTACTCAATTACAGCAGACCGCCTTGGCCTCTCCAGCTACGTATGGACATCCGGAGTGCTAAACTATTGGGCTCGAACGGTACGGAGTCCGGGTCCCAGATCGGTCCGGACGGCCACTTCCAATTTTCCGGTATATACAGTCTCTGACTACTCACAACGATGAACAACTGTGCGCTGGAACAGCCCGAGCCTCTATCATATGGCACCCCCTCGATAACAATCAGAAAGAATATCTCTAGGAATGGTGGACAACCATTCGAAGACTCTGATGTTCTCGTGCTTTCCTCCCGGTCCACAAGTGACACGCACTCCAAAGATTCCACGCAGCTGTACCTCGACTTACGTCTCTCGAAGCCTTTACTGCCAGAGAGCATCATTAAATGGGGCTTTGCTGGAATCCGTGTCACACTCTTTTCTACTCCTCTGCGTTTCCGATGGAATCATTATATTGATTCCCAGGGACAAGATGGCCCTCCTGATGAGGGCACCATGACTTCGTGTGATGGAGAAGAAGTAGAAACTGGAGTTGGGGTAAACCCCGAGACGGGAGAACAGGAGCAGTACGAAGAACGCTGGATGTGAGCTCATAACCATTACCCTGGATAATTGATCAGTTTCATGATCTCTGCGCGATAGTGACCAACCGGTTCCACTACGCACATCGTTCGCATTCCTCACTTCCTCACGCGAACCAAGTGAATCGACCGGGTTTATCGCTATCCTGGGAGATCATGCGCTTGCAATGCGCCAGAACCACCCTCCGAATGACACCGAATTTCAAGCGGTGCGCATGCGCATCTCGACTTCATCGTCGCCCGAAGTTCTATTCAAGCAAAACGCAGACGCTCTCCTCCCATTGTTAGAATCTGCGCTCTCAGGGGTTGATAATTGGAAAGGATCCCCTTGGCAGCGTGGTCAGGACATTACTTTACAGGAAAGCCGCTGGACGGTGTGGGATGCTGGTATGACAGGGGAAAACTGACTGCTTAATTTAAATTGCAGGTGAACGTATTCCATGATGGCACGATGTCCAGCTGCGATGCAATTATAACCTATATCCACCGCGCTGCGTGGGCCTTGATCTTCAATCGGCGAGTATGAGGAGCGGGGAACGTCAGATGCAGGACACACTGTTCATAATGACACTTGATTCGGTATGACCCTAGCTAACACGCAGCGAGTACGAGTCATCTATCCTTGAAGCTTCGAACATTTCACCCTATATTTGGTTAGCTGGTGTGTAAATACATCAGGAATGACTGCGCTTCCGTGCCGTCATGAAGTGGCACTGTCACGTCCGACTGTCTGGTCCCATACACTCCAGGCACACACACCCGGTATATTGATTCCACCTGTTGCAGTTTCCGCGCCTTATTCTAGTCTGTACAGCTGTAGACTTAGAGTGTTACTAAGTCCATTCGCGCGTGTATGATCCACCCGAGTTAATGGAAATGGGTTCTAATTCCAAACATACTAGTGTGAGGAGGAGCCTATACGACCCGAAGAATAGGAGTGATGGGAATGTTGTGAGAAACGTAGGTATATTACAGGCAGACTCCGCCAAACTGACACCACGAGTGACAGAGCGAGTCAGGTTCTCGTGCACGTTTGACACTGCCTGTGGACTGCATCAGTGATGATGACGGCAATACTTTGATGAGCCGAGTATGACGTAGACCAGGGAATATCAAGGGCGAGTATTACTCGATCGGTGAGTGACGCCTGATTGATCAGGCAGCTCGGAGGTGATCGTGATAGCGTTTGTCTGCGTCCAGAACCTCACCAGGGAGATCGGACGAACATACCGGATACTGCGCATGTGCCTTGAATCGAAAGTTGCCTAGAAGCATCGAGGAATTAGGAAAGCGAGGACGAGAGCGAGAACGAGAACGAACTAGACCTATTGAAGAAAAATGGCTGGACACATGGCTGATGGTGCGATGCTGATGGTACGATACTACTGGTTCAGAAATCCGAGCCGAACGATGTCCGATAAACAATTTGGGTGGTCACTGACCTATAATCGATTTGAGAGGCCACTTATTTTGTCGCTGCTTGGTCAAACCAGAGCACGTTGCTTAATTTTGCTGTCCTTAGCTGGCAACGGTGCTGAGAGAAGGACGGAGATAATTACTAACATACCTACACTAGTACTTGCTGTGCGAGTGTGATTAGCAATCGCAAGAAACGTTTATTTTGGAGTGGTCTTCGGGGGTTCGCCGCCAATTGACGTTATCGTATCAGTACTGATTAGATCGACCCACCCAAATATTGATTCCAGTATAAAAGGTTCCACTCACCTCCCGACATATCCGCATTTCTCCACTTCACCCCATCACTACAATATTCTCTCAACCAACATGGTGAGTACATCTTCGTCCAACAAGCACACGCTCGGTCGCTGATAACATCGAACGCAGGTCAGAGTCGGCATCAATGGGTATGTTTTCATTATCGGTCGAGGCGCTGATCGTTAATCGGATGCTTGTCTCTTTTGTTGCTGGATAGTTTCGGTGAGTATATGCGCTTGATCCTGTACAAGCGAATGCATCTGACACGATATCTCACGTTCAGGTCGTATTGGCCGCATCGTCATGCGTAATGCCCTCGAGAACCAGGACATCGAGGTCGTCGCCATCAATGAGTGGGTTCACCTCCTATTTTCCAAAATTACATCTGATTTACATTTATAGTCCTTTCATTGAATTGGACTACATGGTCAGTAGATGAGCTATCGACGTGTACCGAGTTCGATCTAATCGGTGGGAAATGTAGGTTTACATGTTCAAGTACGACACCGTCCACGGTCGCTTCAAGGGTGACGTCCGCACCGAGGACGGAAAGCTCTACATCAACAACAAGCCTATCCACGTTTTCGGAGAGCGGGATCCGAGCAACATCAAGTGGGGTTCGGTCGGCGCTGATTACATCGTCGAGTCCACTGTGAGTATCTCAATCAATGCTGCCCTCGAGTTGAAAGCTGATTGGAACATCGTGAACAGGGTGTCTTCACCACCATCGACAAGTAAGGATTCGTGATCATAGATCGAGTGCTTCTAATAAGATTACTCCCAGGGCCTCTTCTCACTTGAAGGGTGGCGCAAAGAAGGTCATCATCTCCGCCCCTTCGGCTGACGCACCTATGTTTGTCTGCGGTGTCAACCTCGACGCTTACGACTCCAAGTACACCGTGATCTCTAACGCCTCTTGCACAACCAACTGTCTCGCGCCCCTCGCCAAGGTGATCGACGACAACTTCGGCATTGAGGAGGGTCTCATGTCAACCATCCACGCGACGACAGCTACTCAGAAGACTGTCGACGGTCCTTCCAACAAGGACTGGCGTGGTGGTCGTGCTGTCAACAACAACATTATCCCGTCCTCCACGGGTGCTGCCAAGGCAGTCGGCAAGGTCATTCCTTCCCTGAACGGCAAGCTCACGTATGTGATATTAAAGTTTACGCATAACATCAAGATGCTAAGTACTTCGTTGTAGTGGTCTTGCATTCCGTGTGCCGACTTTGGATGTATCCGTCGTCGACCTCGTCGTGCGCCTCAAGAAGCCTGCCACCTATGATGACATCAAGAAGGCAGTGAAGACCGCCGCTGACGGCCCTCTGAATGGCGTGCTCGCCTACACCGACGAAAACGTCGTCTCGACGGACTTCCTCGGTCACCCTGCATCGAGCATCTTCGATGCCAGTGCTGGTATCATGCTCAACTCGCAGTTCGTGAAGTTGATCTCATGGTACGACAACGAGTGGGGCTACTCGAAGCGTGTGTGTGACTTGCTTGTATATGCTGCCAAGAAGGACGGGGTCAACTAAAGGGAATGTGAATACCGGTAGTTTGAGGTTTTACCATACAAAACAAATGTTGTATTTCTTTATGAACATAGTGACGCCGTCATAGATCCGCTTATCTCTCTGATGAGTCTTCATGTAACATGTTTGAGCGAGTTGATTATCTGAGGTGTAAATGATCATCACGATGAACCTAAATTTAGAAGCGGTGCTCAATAACAGCTCGTTTCGTGCTGTTTGAACGACAAGCGAAGAAATGGACCGTCTTCATAATGTCAAAAGAGAACTGAGTGTGATCATGTACCGAGTCGCCGAAGTGCAAGCAAAAACATACTGCTATCAAGTGCAACGAAGATGGACATCAGAAGCTCTCACTTGCTAAGGATCCGAAGTTCATCGTCTTGCCGCTCCGCCGGCGCTGATGTTGTCGATCGATGCACTGAGTGATCGCGCGTCATATGCATGAGACAATTTGCGGCAATCTATCATCAAACAACATTTGCCGAATCACATCACAATAAGTAGACCGATCAACGTCTCTAGTAGAACCCGATATGTTCCCCGCGCATCGATGACGACCTATCTAACACGCCGTCTTCCAACAGAAACAAGGGCAGTCGTTCTGGTTCTATCGAATAGCAAGCGTTGGCGCATGGCCATAACACCAACAACGCCATAGGTCGTTCAACCAAAGTTCACGTTTAACGCCGGCGACCCTGAGTAGGCCAGACCAGGAACTTAGTTACACATGTTCGAAAAAGGCAATCAAGATGCGATCGGCTGGTGCGTCATATATCGCAACCTAGCTTCTGAAACCACCGTATATGACCCTGGATGCGTGTGCATGACAAAGTTGCATTTTGGTTAGCAGGCGATTATAACATAAGAATGTACCAGACATACAGTTCAAAATGTTTGGTAATAGACCCCACGAGTCTGAAAAACAAGAGTGTGATCCGTAAGTATGTAGTCAGACCCGTGACACGTGCCTGAGCGCCAGGCAGGTGGCACCAGCTTGCTTTACATGGCGCTTGTTAGTAAAAGCCTATCAGTTTTCATCGTGTGATCCAGTTCCACATACCAGTCCTTTCCACACAATCGAGACTTATACAAGTATGGATGAAAGGTCATGAAATACACGTCATTATCGTACTGGCTGGAAAGCTGAAACATCAAAGAACTACAAATATGGCATCGCGTTAGCGTTAGAGTCTGAATCATAACAAAGATACACTAAAATACACCCGGAATGAGTCTGTAGCGCACCCTCTTAGACCACCGGACCCATTCCTCCCCAAAACGCTGGCGAAGCATCGCATCTTCGCTGATAGCCCGTGCGAAGCTCAGCACGCCGGTTAGTATGAGTTGGAGTGTCCATATTCCAAATACGGTACGCCCGATGTAAGTTGAGAGCCAGCCTGATGATCGCATGAACGATCCGGGGCTCGCATAGATGAGCGAGATCCCGAACGAGGCGATCCAGCTGGCTACATAGCCAGGGTGGCGCACGATGTTGTATGGACCGGCGGTGACGAGGGAGTGGTCCTTGCGCAAGCTCAGCTCGTGAGTGAAATGGCGTCCCATGACATGAAAACACCATAGGCGTCCAAGGCAACCCAAGAGGACGAAAATTGTTCCGAGTATGAAGTATGTGTTTGGTACCATATCCGGAAGCTCTCCGCTGTGAACTAGAATAGAGAGGATTCCAGTTGAGACAGGCGACGGAAAATAAGCCGCGAGTATGACGGCTATCTCTGCGACACAGGGTATCAAACCCGACAACTGTTATATGATATTCGTTAATGTGTCTAGACATTGAAAATTGACATACCCGTTGTAATATTGGGAAAATGACAGGGCAGATACGCTCGTAGAGCGGACCGCCGCTGATTGTTTCATCGTCGTTGGGTGCTGGGTTCGGGGAAATATATGCATTATTGAATACAAAGACAGATGGCACAAGGAAAAGAAGTTTCATGAGAGTCATCGTGGAAATGAGTTTGGTCAACTACTCACATGTGCACACCCCTCTTATATGCGTGTGCTCGCACAAACGCGCACCTACGGTGACATAGCTAGGGTTACCATACTTGTGTTTGAAATTCAAGAAATCCGCAAAGGGCAGCTACACGTAAGGTGCGAATAGGCTAGAGGCTTCCCGAGATTCGTCAAAGAAGAAGCCCATGGAACACGGGCCGGGTGTTCGACCGAATTCAACGCTGCGCCTCAAACTTGACAAAATGTTGTCTTCGGAAGGGGCAGTGGTAAACACGCTAGGGAAGTTGAGTCACATTACGTTGTGGCCACTGAATCTAGCTTCCGCGTGGTCGGTACTAGGCTACATCGTGATGGGCCGCTGGATTTACGTTCACGATTGCCGGGCTGTTGAAAGTTGGAACTAAAGGCTAGTCTAAGAAACAAGGAGATAGCATCAGTCCCGGAAATCACGTGATCATTGAATGTAGGTCATACCTCGCACAGTCCGACTCGATAGACTTTGGATAGTGTCAGGATAGTTGGATGGACGAACTATCATATGACCTGTGAATGCAGTCAGTAAGTTACATAAGCGAGGAATCGATCATTTTTCTTAACAGGCTACCCAAAATGGATGATATAACGTAAAACGCCACAGCACCTGATTACTTTCACAGTTTCATCAAGTGACAACTTGATGATAAGCTACATACAATGTTGTCATCGAACCCGACCTCGCCCTGCAGTGGCGACATGTGTATACCATGTGTATGGCCTTGGCAATTGAACTTAACTTACTCTGAAACAAAGGCGTTACCAGCTACCACACATGGACCTCCACACGCCCACTGAACGTTCTGAATGACAATCCCATTTTGTACACTGCAATGTACACATCTGCTTTCAGCATTATCTCTAGTTCTCTTCCACCCTTTCTCCGTTAACGTTCGAAACAGCCAACCACTGCTACTAGTACACAACATACTCCATACTGCACTGGCGCTCTTACTACCCGGCCAAAATCCGATACAGCCATGTACGTACAGTTCGCCCAGCTTCTCAATTTCACAGATCGACTCTTTCATGATCATGCGCGTGACAATTGGATCATGGCGTTCCATTTGCTCCTTAAATCCCATTCGCAAATGCCTTTCTGGATTCTGAATTCTGATGCGACAAACGAGCAAATGTACATGCGGTTGATGTTCGGATCGGTGGAGCCACGCAGGGATATAGAACATACTTAATGGAAGAAACAAACTTCGCACACCGACTTTTTATGCCCTGACATCTCGCTGATAGGTATATGTCGGTAAGCACTCCTTTGTTACTCCCAATTAATACATAAATGACATAGATAACGCTTCCCTGCAGGTATGTATGAGTCCCTTTCCACTTGCTTTCGGGGGATAATCTCCTTGGATGACAAGTTACTAATGAATCTGCAATGATCTGACGCCTCTGGTGTTTCCCTATCGCAGATCTCTCATCATCATGGAGCCACTGGAATCCAGAATTGTTGCTGAGTCCGCTCTGGAACATATTGAACTCAGCTTGCGAACCTTAACATGTTCATTCGATGTCGGCGCACTGCAGTCTCAAAGGCCAGTTTTCCACCAACCCTACAGGGTGCTATGACTAAATCAAGGGACAACTCAACTTACGCAGCAGTGGGGAAAGCCTTCCCTGGCGTTATCTTCAAGTTGTTTTGGTCGGGCATCAGCGATGGCTATGATACGGAGAGTACTGACGTTTCTTCCATAACAATTCAGATGATGACTATTTCCTGAGAGAGTTATCCAACATGAGACTATATCTAGTGGTCTGACACAATCCACGCGACGGTACGATCTCTCAGTTGAGACAAGTGGGCAAAATTCGTGCAAACATTCCACACCATAGCGCCATATAAACCGCAGCACTCGTCGTCGACATGCTCACGTGTACACTCGTGAAGAAGTTAACATCACTGTCGAGACTGCACAGGATCTTGAAGCATCTTGAAGCATAGGCACCTCCGCTCTCGACCGAGCCTCGTGATGAGATCACCTTCTTGCTGGTCTAGAGAGAATCTCGCCTGATGACATTGCTGCTGCATTTTGTAGCTCTCGAGAAGTCGAAGAAGACTGAAAAAGTTCAGGACATTAATGAAGTCAAATTGCTGGAAGAAAATGCTTTTGATTTTGCATAGTCCACATATAGCCTATAGTTTACCCCTTCCACTATATACATCCCTCAGCCTTGGGTGATGTATATGTCGTCCCGCTCGAATCCGTGTATATGGTTTCAGTAGCCCAATGAAGGTGACCATGCGGAAGATATCACCATCAATCACGCGAAGGTAGCTGAAATTAGGACGCCGGCGGTAAACGGGAGTCGTCAGTATCAGTCTCGCATGAAGCAATGGAATCAATTTTACGCCGAGGTCTCACGGTGGTGAGCGAAAGTCAACAATACGAATAAAGTAAGGTGAGAGTCGTTCAGAGAATGATGAGTCCTGTGAGCCGAGACTGAGTCAGTTATGATGTTATGTCCGTGTTTGAAGGCGCCCGAGCTGAGCCATGCAATAGAACGTTTAGTAAGAACGCATGTTGGTGCATGTACTTTGTGAATTTATCGAAAGACTACTGACCTGCTACCTGAATGAGATCTGGTGTCATGCTATTGCGCCTCCAGCTCTCATAGAATAACCTGACATTGCCGTTCCGCAATGTTCACGTAACCGTCAGAGGAACGTATGAATTTGGCACTCGTCAACCACAGAGCGGGACGGAAGACAAACGCGGCGTCTCGGTAGGTGAAATACCATCGCTGGCAGTAGTGGCAATGGATCAAGTGCAATCACAGAATTTGACACGATGATGATGGTCGTGTGAGTCCCAAAGCTGTCGTTCTTCTGATCAGGCAGGGTGTAGGAGATGGAGTTAGCAGTGATGGTGAGGGCATCTTTCGCAGCGCTGTGCAGACACGAAGTTCTGCACTTTGGTTGAGCTGGAGTACCTGTAATGAACGTTGAATATTTGAATCGCAGTGACTGTCTGAAGTGGCTAGTGCTCGTTTCCTTATCAAGCAAGTCTTATTATTAACACCATATGCATCATGCTGAAGTTGAATTTTGAATGGCCTCGAGCTCGCTTTGGA